CCTATACACTACGCTATGAGCCCAGTTTCCAGTTTCATGTTCTATGCGGTTTGCCAGTTGATTCTCGAACTAGCCAGAGATTCAACTGTCCCTTGAAGGACGTGCTCGAAAGTTCGGAGACACAAAGAGATCTTCGACGGAGGCGCCTTGCAACTGACAAGCAGCGCAATTCTTCCCAGGTAGGGAGAACCTGAAGCTACAACCAAATACTATCCTATGGTTTCTTGTACCCTCCATTGCATCACAGAGTTTCGTAATCCCCTCACCAGCCCCCAGAACCTTAAATCACCACTTTCCATATGACTTTTCATGTTCTTTTCCATTTGTCTCCCACATTTCTAAAGTACCCCTACATATCCCTCTGTACTTGTAAATCACGACATATCCCTCTATAGGTTTCTATGCCATATATCACTATGCTATCCCGTATTGCAAGATGGGATGCTTTTTTGGATGCGAGGGCACAGCTTGTTTGGGATAAGGGTTTATATGAGTCTGGGGGAGTGCAGCTCAAAAGGAACCTTATACTCGAGTAGGGGTTTAGGATTCAGGATTTGGGGTTTAGGGCTTAAGATGTAGGAATTAGGGTTTAGGAACGTTTCATACAACAGTGTCGCCCTCAGATACCCCAAAACGTTTAGGAATGGACCCCTAGCTTTTGAAGCCCCTTTTCCTGCAGCTTTTTAGGGGACCCCAAGTACTCGCAAACCCCGAGAAATACACGCCTACGCAAGAAGGCTTCCATCACGCCCCTTGCCTGTGACAAGGTTGCTTCTGAAGAAGCCCACGCTGTGTGCGCCGAACTTGGTAACATACCGCCATTGCTACTTATAAGTTCATCGGTAGCTTTAAGTGGGCTTCAATTGGGTTATAGATATGGCTATGCTAACGAGAGCCACAGTTATAACTACCGATGAACTTTCAGGTACTTCTCGTGTGACTCATGCATTTCGTTGGAACTGTAACTGTAGATTCCTTGTTGAGTTCCTTATGAGGGGACGCTAAACGTGCCACCAGCACCAGTCCCGCTGTAGAACAAGAATTCCGTCGCTGGGGCATTTAGGGTTTCAGGTTTAGGGAGATTCCTATTCTGCGAAACACCCACATTGGTTGACGCCAGCATTTGTGAGTCAGACCTTGTCGCAGTAGCCCTGGTAGTTGTGGTAGGCGGCGGTTCTGGCTCAGCGGTGGGACTGCTGCTGACCACCATCCTAGCCATTGTTTCTTCCGTTCCTTATAGTTCCGACTATATATGCCCTATCATGATATAGTAATTTCCATGTCCGTTTCACTTATCCCGATAGTATCCCCAGCAAAAGCCTATTTATAACTCAAACCCTAAACCCTAAACCCTAAACCCTAAATCTTAAACCCTATACCCTAAACTCAATACCCCAAACCCTAAACCCTAAACTCAAACCCTAAAAACCCTAAACCCTAAACCCTCCCTATCCCTCCCTATAGTTCCATGTGAGCCATTGTCTAAACTCCTAGTATCCCCCTTAATAACCCCTATAGTAGTCCCCTACATAATCCCATATCTATATAATCCCATATATATATATATACCCCCTTTAAGGAGTTTAGACAATGGCTCATCCTAAACCCTAAACCCTAAACCCTAAATAGCTACAACCCCTTTCATCCTGAGGCTCAGAGCCTGAAGATGCTCCGGCAATTGGTCGCAGGGTTTGTGTCCACCTTGGCCTGGGACTCAGCTTCTTGGTGTATTTAAATGAGCTAGAGAGGTTCCTTAAAGGGGGGTTTATAGGGTTTAGGGTTTAGGATTTAGGATTTAGGTTTTAGGGTTTAGGGTCTAAACCCCTTAAAGGGGGGTTTCTATAGGGGATTATATATGGGACTATTAGGGGGGTTATGAAGGGGGGATACTAGGAGTTTAGACTATAGCTCAAATAAGCGTGTGTATGTATATGTATATGCACACGTATTGTATAGGAAGTGGAAAAGAAGTTTAGGGTTTATGTCGGATTTTCTGTTTTGGGGGGTTGTGGTCTGGTTATACTGGGGCATAATAAGGGGGAGTTGCAGGGGAGTATAGATATAAGTATCGGGAATTCCATACGTGGGATTATCATGGGGTTCGACCCCCAACTCCCCCTGGGCACCACTGAGTCAGGGGAAAGGGGTGATTCCGAAATTAGCCCGGAAGGAAAAGGGCAAAACCAGGCTACGCAGCCCCGAAAAGTTGCTGCTATAGATTGCAAAGAATTCGCTATATCCCTAAACCCTAGACCGAACCCTAGACCCAAACCCTAAACCTTAGACCCTAGTGGGTAATAATGGAAAGGATCTCCTTGTGCTCTGATTGATGAGTCCGATATTCTGACATCGCACGGGAGGCTGGCAAGAAGAGGGTCGGCAAAAGGCCAAAGATTTCTTCAAAGCTTTAAAGCATGTACACACACATATATATATATACGTGTATATATATGTATATATGTATACATATGAACTCCTGGGCACAGCTATTCAGGCAGTTTCCCCTGCTCGCTCCGACACACTCAACTGATTTGTTTTCAACACATCTCAAATGAGCAGTACTTGAAGGGTGAGGGGACTAAGTAAGCATACTATACTCATAACCCTTACAGACCACGTGATAACCAACTCCAGGTATCTCCCTCATAAAGGTACTTTTTCAGACTTGGAGGAGTCGCAGTTGTTGTCCTGTCAGTAGGGGCACCAGGGCTTTTCGAATAAGAAGCGAGATGTAAGAGGCCGTCAGATGTCCCATATCTTGAAGATCTTGAGCGGCAGCTCTTGTATACAAAGCCCCAAACCCTAAACACCCTACACCCTAAACCTCAAAACCCTAAGCCGATGGCTGCCATCTCCAAGAAGGGCAAGCCAAGTCACCTATGTGGAGTTGCATTGACAGCAAAGCCTACGCCATGGTTGATGCTAAAAATCCCAGCATGGCCCTGCTTGGGAGGGTCAGGGGGCTTGGTAAGTAGGTTAGTAACCCCTACAACCCATTAGTAGTAACCATGATTATGTCCATCATGAGCCTACTCAGTAAGTCCCCCTGACCCTCCAATCCTAAACCCTGAACCCTGAAAGTAAGTAGGTACCTTAGCCTCATACCTTGGGGAACCTTGGTATTCTAGTATACAAAGGTCATTCAAGATTTGTAGGTTTAGGGTTTAGGGTTTAGCTGGACCTCAAAAGTAGGTAACATAATAGCCCAAAACCATTAGAAACAGACCGAAAGGCCATTATTCTATATACTTTTGGGGTACAGGTAGGGTTTAGGGTTAGGGTTATCACTTGTAGGACCAGATCGGCTTGGAATTATGGGCTGTGAGTGGTCCACCTGTGAGGTTTAGGGTGTAGGGATTTGGGGTTTAGGGGGTTTGGGGTTAGGGGTTTAGGGTTCGCTCCGCGGCATAGGTTCTCCGACCGCGCACG